ATGTAAACAATGATAAATAAGAATATTTTTAATGTAAACACTTACTTGAATGAAAGATAAAAATCTTAAAGAATTATAATATAAAGGCCTGTTTACACGGTCCAATTTCTTGAATCTGAGAAATTGGACAGATTTCTCTGTCCAAGAAATTGGTTGATTCGTCGACATTATCCAAGTTCTTGAATGTCACTGATTCATCAAAAGAAAAACTTGCGCATGTGCATTGTTCATATTCAGCATTATAAAATAATACTTACATAAGCTTAAAATTACTAAATAAATTCAAATAAAATCATAATAACACAAATAAACCACAAAAGATCAATTTATTTGGACTAAAATATATGAAAACCGACAACAAAATGACATAATTTGCTGCCTGCTTGCTGACGTCACAAAACCTAAGACGCTGATTGGTTAAGGGTGAAAAAACTTGGAAGGAAAGTAGAGCATGCTCTACTGTCGTCCAAGAAGTTGGACCAAGCTCTTGGATGATTGTTTACACGATCCAAGTGCAAAGCAAAACAAGTTTCCATCAATATCAATCTCTGTCCAAGAAATTGGATCGTCTAAACAGGCTTTACAATCCATAATGTCAGATGTTAAAATATTTATTAGAAGAATTTTGACCGGAAAACAAACCTCAAAAAGATATATTAATACATTAAAAGAATAGAACAATTCAAGATTTTTGAAAACTCAGGGAACAGTCTAACTAGATCTGATTTGACCTTTCTCAATATATTACAATTAAAAAATAAAATCTCTAGTAATTTCTCTAAAATAAAAAATGTTTCAACTTGTAAAATTCTTTAAGAACAACACAATTATAATTACTTTAATTATTTCTAGCGCTTTAACTAGATCTATATAAGTGAACTTGCCTGTTAACACACGTAAAAAGGATAAATTTATAAAACTGATTAGAGTTGATAGCATTCATTCAAAAATAACAAAGTATAGGGTATAGTGCAATAAATCCAATTTGTAAACCAAAAATTACTTACCTTTTTGTGTATGCTGGTGCGACAACATGTGACATTTAAGAGTATCTTTACGAGAATAAGCTTTGTTACAATGATGACAGAGATAGGGCTTTTCTCCACTATGCACAGACATATGCCTTATCATTATGCATTTCTTTTTATTTTGATAAGGGCAGAATCGACATCGAAAAATTTTGTTTTTACACAAAAACGTAGTTTCCAAATCTAAAATAATATATACATATATAAATACATAATAATTATTTTCACTAGAAAATAAATTTTTATATTTTCTGATAAAATGTTTTTCATTAGACAAAACATTAAAAAGACTAGCAGAATAAATGAGGAAAAAAAAGCAGAAAAAGAACATAGGAAATTGTTTACGAAATAACACGAGTCATTGTTCAAGCCTCAAGAAAAAAAAATTTAAACATTTCAGACATTAAAAAAATTAACCAACATTTATTTTAAATAACAGTGGAAACTTTAATTAATAACTAATGACTTAAAGTTTCTTTGATTTTTCTTCCCCATTTGAAATTGATAAGCATATCATGATTATTATATTTTTTAATTCATGGTTAAGAATAAAAGATATTTCATTCATTTTAGATTATTGCAATTTTATTCTTAAATGCAGAGGAAAAATTATCATGGCAATAAATAAATAGTAATTGAAAAAAAAAGAAAATAAAAGAAAGAAGTTTTTTGTAGAAATTAATAATTTTGAATTAAAATAAGTGTTTCAAAATGATTACTATAAATGTAATACAATTAGCTTAAATGTAACTACACAGCATTTGAGACACATTTTGTTAGTTTGTAAATACTAAATCGTAAATACTAAAATTCTCAATTAAGTAATAATCTGAGTAACAAAAATATCTTAAGAGAATTTTTAAAAATTTCAGGAAATTTTGGAAATCATACTTTAAAAAAAATTACAAAATCCATTGAATTTGTCATTAATTATTTACAATAGAAAAGGAGAGATAAGCGAGAACAGTAAAAATTCAAATTACCACATTTTTCAAAGTACTGATCAACACAGTCCAAAAAAGGTTTCTTAAGTAAGTTATGGGGACACAGCCTGCAGTTTGGGTCATAATGCACCAATTGTAAAATATAGTTTAAATAAAAATTTGATATGTTTAAATAATATTTAATTATTTTAAAGTCTTATAAAATTGCCTTAAAACAACATACAAGTTATGCTGTATTAAGTCAATTAATTATAAGTAAGAGGAGGAACAAAGCAATATGTTAATTTCAAAACTTATAAAATAGAGTATTTTTAAATTAAAGTAATTAAGAAAATTAAACTCAATACTTCAGAAAAGCATTATATTATATGAAAATAAAATCCATTTAAATTACAAAAAATATGTCTTATAAATGATCTAAAATTTATATAACATCATGTGGTGGATTATGTAATGTTTTTTCAAAATTCCTTGTAATGTATTTTCAAAAAGCTATCTTCGTTCATGTATTAATAATTTAAATTTAAGTTCTCAAAAACTTAAATTATTTAGACAGAAAAATATAACATTTGTCATCTTGCTAAAATTTTGACGAATTTTATTTTTTCAACTTTAAATAACTTTAGTACAAATAATTACAATAATAAATGTTAGAATTTAATCACAGGTTAACTGGAAATTTTCAGATATATTAAGTGTATATGGAACTTGCTTAACTTGATGCAGCTATATACCATAGTTTCTTGTTACATTTAAAAGTACTTCCACATTTTGATGTTACAGTTTCATCAATATATAACATGACACTCTGGAGTATGGAATACAGGTCATTTTAAGGATTTTAACAAATACAACAAAAATAAATAGAAAAAAAAAATATTAAAAAGCATTCATAAATAACACATCATTCCAGTGCACTGGAAAAAGTTATTTTTACAATACAGTAAAAATAACAAGGGGAAAACTAAGAAGTATTGATTATGAATATGTATTAAATTTTAAAAATGGAAGCAACTTCTTGAAAAAGGTATATGAAGGGCAAAATTTCATTGAATAATCAACTAAAGTCAACAATCTATTGAAGAACAAGAATGGGTAAAAAAAAAAGTTACAAGAAATAGCATGCAAAATATAAACAACAGCAACAAACAAAACTTTTATGTCAGTTGACCAAATTTCATTGAAGTCCAGTTTAATGAATTATGAAATTAGCTAGGGAATTGATGTAAAACATTAATTGTCTAGCATAAAATATGGAGACAAGCTGGTTACCCGTACAAGAAAAAAACCTATTTATGTATGTCAAACTGTGTTTTTGACAGTTATAAGCAGGACATTATTTTATTCTTCAAAGTATGCTAGTACTAAAAAATACGACTAGCAAAATCAAGTACCATACAAAATTTTTTAAAGTAGTAATAAAAATACATAAAGCAGTAATATGTTTTGTGATGCAAAAAAGTTAACATTACACAATGGAATGATCCCTGAACGGTAAATATAAAATATTTATACTCGTCTGAAAGTTCAAATACTCAAATGTGCCGTAGAAATACTGTACTTGAAGTATCGAGATTTAAAAAACACGTGGAAATTTCTAGGCTGGAAGTTTTGACACCTAACCAACTATAATAACTGCTGAGAAAACAATCAGAACATTCTGATTGTGACAGCATTGTCGCAAATAATTGAGCGAATATTCAAATCTGAAATATAAGTGTCTTAATAATATATTTGAGAATGTCAAATTATCTCTTAAAGGTGAAATTAACATGTTGTAATATTATAGTTAAAATATCAGAATTGAATGATTTAATAAAAAAAAAAAATAATTAAGATAACTGTCGAAAACCACGGAATAGCAGTGATTCATGCACATAAAAAAGTGTTAACTAAAATGTGAACTTTTTTGTGTCACAATATTGTGGTATTATAAATAATGAAGTTTCAAAATTCATGTGGAGATCACCAAAAAAACGATAAAAACCTATTTAAAAAAAAAAAAGACTAGAAAATGAACGATAATTAATGATAGAATCCTAAATAGAAGTTCGCATGCTGTAATGATAGAATTTTAAATATATTGGTAATTGCGTGATTAAAAAAAACTATAAAACGATAAAAAATTACTAACAATTTTTGCTAATGTGTTTTTCTGTAACTAGCATTTTTTCTTCTTCTTTAAACAAGCAATTTGCTACTTGAAGAAATCTTGCCTTGGTTGTAGGATTAAATAAGGATTTTATAAAAAGAATTGAAAAATTTTATGGTACTAGGGCAAAAATCAGTTACTCTGTGCCACAACTAACAAATATAAAAAATTTAAGGTAATAAGACTACAGTATTATAAACTAAACTTAATATTAAGAAAAAAAGAGAGAGAGAGAGTGAGAGCAATTGTTAGGAATAAGTATCTTAATTTAATAGGATCAAAAAACTGAACAAGGCAAAACCTTGAATGAAAACAAAGAGGTAAGTAGGGTTTTATCACATAAATGAGGCATATAAAACATGTTAACAAAAGAGTTTTTGCATTCCTTATCTCTAAATATAAAGCAAGCCCTAATTTAATAAAATCTAGAGTATGTTGGTTTAATGGTTAAAAAACCCTGCATAAAATTATGTCATTACAAACACAATTTGGAATTAACGAAAAGTTTTTTTTTACTTTTCGAAAATTTTAGTAGCCAGAAAAAAGTATCTATAGAAAAGTTTAATTTTTTTTTTCTTCAAAAAGGACTCTAATAATCTCTTTAGTTCACAACTGTAGATAAATAATAAATTCAGAGTAGTCATAACAATAACCAATAGAAGATGGAAATTTCCAGGTCAGAAGTTTGACACCTGTTGATAAGTAAATCATGAAGATTCAACCTTACACTGCTTAAACGCATGTTACTGATAGTGAATTTTGAGTAACTGGGGTTACATGTCAAATAAATTAGCTAAATTGTGCACAAAGTTATATTACAATGAGTCCAAATGATTTCAGTAAGAGTTAAGCCATTTCTAACTACATTTTAGTTCGTTGTGTATCCCGCTATTTCCATAGGCAACGTAGATGAGAAAATTTGAAAAACTGGCAATTTCTGTGGGAATGCGTTTTCCTGTCCATTTAACTGTACAACTCACTCTTTTCCCATTTACGGTATCATTTAGGTTTTTCTGCAATGCTTGTTTATACAAATCTGGGATAACAGTTGGCATTAGCTGTTCATATTTCTGCAAATATTCAAGCATGTCTTGCAGTATTTTGAATGGTCTTTTCAAAGCTCAGACATGCCTGGCAATAAGCGTTTTGCGAGAGATACAACAGACATTCCTGACAATATTTCTGACACAGATAGCAGTTCCAATTTAAAGTATATTGAAGACAGTTATAGCAATCTGATGAGAATTTTATGGATTTCTTTGTGCACTTTCTAACAACCTTTATAATTCTGTATTGAAAAGAAACTCTTTAACAAAAACCTTTTGTATACTTTAATTCTAAAATATATATCAATTTGAAATATGTAATAAAAAATATGCAATTTCTTATTGCATTTTAAGAAAAAAATTATGCAATAAGAGGATTAATCATGAAAATATTTATAAAACTATCAACACAGATAAAAAAATTTTAACACCGAGATATACAGTTTAAAAAATACCAAATACAACTGAATAGAATTCAGTTTTAACATGCACTAACACAAATGGGTAAGCACATGTGCTTCTAAAATATCCTCTCTTTTAAAACCACGATTACACACATTACAAACATAAGGTCTCTCTGCAGAATGCGTAGTCAAATGTCGAATCATCTTACTTTTATGCCTATTTTTATAAGGACAATATAAACAGTATAGTACATCGTTAATAAGCTGGCATCCATTCAGCTCTTTTTTTAATGCACTATTTTTAGTATGTACAAGGAAATGTCGGAGTAACTGGCTTTTGTGTTTATTTTTATAAGAGCAAGATGAACAGTATAACATATTGCCAATCCGTCTACATCCTGCCAGAATGCCTGTGGGGAAAAATAGCATTAATATCTTTTATGTACACAGCTATTTGAGACATTGAAAAGATCAGGGAATTATTTAAAACTTTTGAGGAGAAAGCTTATTATATAGGATATTGTAACAGATAAAAATTTTATAGGCATACTTTGTAAGGCCAATTAAAGACTTTTCAGAATTGAAGTTATATGAATTATCTTGAAATGGTATTTTGATTATGAAATACAAAAAGAAAAATTAAACAGTAAGACAATAAAACAGTAAATTCTAAAAAAAAAAGACCAGCGATTAAAAGATAATGTCGAAGAATTCAACATATTTTTTTAAAAAAATTATAAAAAGGACTGCAATAAAACATTTGAAACTAAATATCATGTTTAAAATTAAGGCACCATTAAATGTGCAATCAAACTGTAATGTCTGCAATAAATAAAATTATTAAGTTTTTAAATTCTATTTATGAAAAACATTTTTGTTTGAAATATGGAATTACTGAATATATTTACTGTAAAACAAACACAAGATCACTATTTAGATATCGATTTATTAGACACATGTATTTTCAAATGATCCTTGTATTCAAAGATTTTTAGACATATATCACACACTGGTTTTTCCCCATTATGTGTTTGGCATGTCTAGAGATTTTATATTTTTCCAAATGAGTATATGGGCACCATGAACAGCGACGTAGCTTGTCATCACACTTAAGAAACTAAACAACCAAACTGTTAAAAAGAAACTATTAATATTTTATAGTAAAAAAAAAAAAGGCCATAAGTAAATAAAATTTTCATTTGGTGGATGAAACTTTCATCAAAAACTTAAGTTCAGAAAATAAAAAATGTCTTTATAAGCATTATCCAGCCCTAAGAAACAAGCATTCAATAACAAATGCAGAACAGACATAATTGCAACTCTTTTCTCGAGTTTTATAAAACGAGATAAAATACTTGTTAAATGTTTTATTCAAAAATAAATTTTAAACAATTTTGTGTCACACTCTTGTTTAATTCTAACATTAATTGTTCAAAATATATTTAGATTAATTAAAAATTCTGTAACTAAAAACAGCACAAATTTGTGCTAGCAGCACAATGCTAGTGTGAGCTAGATATTGGACAAAAAAGTCAAAATACATTACTAGTGGAAAAACAGCAAGAGAATCAAGATGCCGTGGTCCTGTATCAATAAAAAATTAGATTTTTTTTAATTTTATATATTTCAAACCCCTTTCTCCCAAGGAGGTTCTTAGGAGGAGTCAGTGTGACTCTAAGGCTAAAAATTTAAGAAACCCTTGCCCTAAAATAATTTACCCTTATTTGAAGTCAATAAATGACCTTCTATCTCTATTTATACCTCGATATTCCACCTTTTCTATATTAAAATTAAAGAAATTTTAACGTCAATACTAGCTAGAGTCACGACAGATTTTAAGTAGATACAACAGGTAACAATATCAAAAGTTAAAACATTCACATTAAATACTAACATACACTTCAGAACAAAATAAGTTACTATAAAAACTTTAGTTCTCATTTAAAATTACTAAGGATGGAAGGGTCAAGGAGTATATGACAAACAACACAATTGTACAGCTAAAACAAAGGTTGAAAGATACATATATAATTATGATACATATTATAAAAACAATATATTTTTGGATGGTTGATATATTGTTTGCACAATAAATAACGTAATTGAAATAAACGTAAAATTTTTGTATTAGCTTATTGTTTTCAGTGGCAATTTAAAGCCAGAAGGGTTTAAATTTAAAATCATTATTTAGACCTATCATAATTAGGCATGTGTCAACTTTTGGCTTTTCAACGATATATACAGTGGTGGCCAAAAGTGTGGACATTTTTTGAAAGTTTCATGTTTTACAACTTTGTGTGCTTGTAAAATATATTAATTTTCACTTAAATACAAACGTTTATATATCAAATTGAAGGTAATTTAATGTAGAATTTAATAATAAATACAGAATTAAAATATCTGCATTACAAAAAAAGTTATGCTCATTTTAATAGAACAAACACAAATCGTTTTGAATAAGGACGTGTTTTGTAATAAAAGCGTACTAGCCAATCACAAACACCGTTCCTAGGACCAATCAAATGTCCGTAACTATAGTCTATGTTATTTGGATGGTAAAAGAGTTATTGTTGAGTAAATATTTTGCGGAATGATGCATACTAGTACAATTAAATAGAGTATTGCTATTTTTGAATATTTAAAGTCCCCTTTTTTTAATTTAACTAATTTTAAACAATGTCATCAACAAGAATCAATTGGAGAACTACAAAAAGAAGCCAAATTGTCATATTGAGAGAAAATGGCCTCCTTTATGCTGAAATTGCAAGACAAGTTGGTGGTTCCGTGACTTGTACGAAAGTTCTGTTTACCTTATGAAAAAACGAAATCAGTGGAAAATAAAGCCAAATCAGGTCCAAAAAATACACAAGTGCTACTGCCGATAAAAAAATTAAACGGCTATGCCTTTAAGATAGAAAAATTTCATCAGATGCCATTAGATGTGAAATGTGATTGCATTGATTAGATGTGATTGCATTGAAGCAACTACAAGAAACCCAACAAATGTCATGATTTGGGCATGTATGTCTGCAGATGGTGTGGGCCGAATTCAAGTGATTGTGGCATCCCGAATGCCAAAAAATACATCAAAACTGTCCTGAAACCAAAATTGATACCTTCCATCAAGGATCTCTTCCCCAACAACGCACCATTTATTTTTCAGCAGGATTCAGCTCCATGCCACACAGCAAAAGTATGCAAAGCATGGTTTCAAAATAAAGGCATAGATATATTACCATGGCCAGGAAATGTCCTTCCAATAAAAGACAACTTATTGAAGCTATAATTGATTCTTGGCACCATGTGATTACGAAATGTGAACTCCAAACACTAGTACACTCAATGAAAAGACGCTGTGAAGCTGTCTTAAAAAATAAAGGTTATCCTACTAAGTATTGATTGTGTAAGTATCACGTTAAAAAAATGCAAATCTAAGATAGATCTTATTATTAGTTGCATAACTTTTCTTGTAATACAGATATTGTAATAATGTATTTATTATTAAATTCTACATTAAATTACCTTCAATTTGATATATAAACGTTTGTATTTAAGTGAAAATTAATATATTCTACAAGCACACAAAGTAGAAAAACATGAAACTTTACAAAAAAATGTCCACACTTTTGGTACAGTCACTCTGGCAAATCGTACACAAGAATGGTTTTTCCCCTCCGTGTACGGACATGATTTTGCATTTTTCCAAATACAGTCAAACCCCGCTATAGTGAACACAGTTTATAGTGAACTCCCGGATATAATGAATGAAATGCTTGGTCCCGTGCCTTGCTATACACGGATAATGTTATTTTTTGTGGATATAGTGAACATAAAAGTGAGGAAGTTGGATATTGTTTGCAGGATTTTTTTTTAACTGAACTGAGAGCAAAATGGAGTTGAAATGAGGGCCTTATCAACACATATTAGTGTCCATCCCTTTGACCAGTAATGAATAGTTACTCATTCCCTCTGACAGAAAATGCATATTGATACCACTGATATAATGAATGAAATGCTCGGTCCCGTGCCTTGCTATACACGGATAATGTTATTTTTTGTGGATATAGTGAACATAAAANTCAAATCCCGCTATAGTGAACACGGTTTATAGTGAACTCCCGGATATAATGAACAAAATGCTCGGTCCCGTGCCTTGCTATACACAGATAATGTTATTTTTTGTGGATATAGTGAACATAAAAGTGGGGAAGTTGGATATAATGAACTTTTTTCTGTCTTCAAATGATTTTTTAAAAAAAAAATTTTTTTTTTCAATAATTTTTAAATTTCTACTTCAAAATCAATACATATACCGATTTTCAAAACCATCTATAGAGGGGAATGTAGTGATAAGAATTTTTCTTGTTTACTTCTTTTATCTAACTTTCCCATCCCTAAATAAACCAAACAGATGTTTCCACCCCAGGCAGACAATGCATCTGTAAGGTGTCAGTGGTATCAATATGCATTTTCTGTCAGAGGAAATGAGTAATTATTCATTACTGGTCAAAGGGATGGACACTAATATGTGTTGATAAGGCCCTCATTTCAACTCCTTTTTGCTCTCAGTTCAGTTAAAAAAAAATCCTGCAAACAACTGTCTTCTCAAATTTAAGTGTGGCGAACTGTAAACGTAAAACGTTCTAGATTGATGATAAAATGGGCACAATCAGAAAAATTGAAAATGGATGCAATCAAGCTGATATTTGCAGTGAATATAAATTATTCAAATCTGCAGTTTGTAACATATGGAAAAATAGGCAATTATTAATTTCTGCACATGAAAAAAGTTAAATGGCAGAAAAAAATTGAGAAAAGCAGATCACAAGGATGTTGAAGAAGCATTACTGAAGTGGTTCACCAGTCGAAGAAGCCGCAATCTTCCAGTATCTGGACAAATGTTGATGAATTTGCTAAGCGATTTTATGAGACTACTTTTTACTCGAATTGCAGGTTAGACAGGTTCAAAAAGCTGAATAACAGAAATTCAGGAAAAATTATCTGAGAGTCGGGAAGTGTTTCCATATCTGGTGTGGAGGATTGCTCATCAGCTAAAGATTACTAATTTTTTTCTGTACGCAAGACGAAGATTAATGAAAAATAACACATTTTTGGCTACTGCATAATATTTTACAGTCATTTAATTGAATAATGTGTAATAAAAGGGAGGGGTTTGGGAACCAATAGTTAAATTGCCTGCGTAACGGATATAGTGTACTCCCGGTTAGAGTGAACTGAAATTTCGGTCCCTTGAAGGTTCACTATATCAGGGTTTGACTGTATATATAAGGTCACCATAAGCAGCAAAATCCTTTTTTATTTGAACTCTTATAACTGACTTACCAACCTGTAAAAAAAAATATATAATCATTAATATTTCACATTTCATAAAGAAATAACCATAAGGATATTTTATAACATTTGGTGAATAAGACTTTTATTAACACCTAATTTAGTTCAAAAAATAAAATTTAACGAGTATTATACACATTTCCTAAGGTCAAAGCAACATGTTCTTGGTATAACAAACAGAAGGAATACAAATCGTTGAAAATATTTGAAAGTTTCATTGAACAAAAACAAAATATGTACCAGTTATTTATATATATCAGAATATTTTAAACAGTTTTCTGTTACACTTTTATAAAACTCTACAATAGTTCAATTTAAGCAAAGTTGAATACCTATATTTAACTCTGTGCCAAAGATTGCAAAGCAAAAGCAGTAATTCCTTCAAAAAATTCAGTGGTTCTCCGCTTATGGTAATAAAAGAAAAATTATTTATATACAGCAATTTGTTATACGAGTATTTTGCTCAACCCCAGTATTTTTAGCAAAAAAAAAAAATTATTCTTCTCATAGCTTATTTCTTCTATAGCTGATGCAAAATCATATGAGTTTTTAAATGGTCCTTCCTGCTATAAAATTTTTGACAAAATTTGCATAAGAAGTTTTCTTCAAGTTTGTGGTTCTGTAAATGCCTGATTAATCTATTTCTATGAGGATGTTTATGGGAACAGTAAGTACAGCAGAACAAATCCATGCAATTCCAAGCAAGAACAGTTCCAAGCCATTGAAATCCAGCTGAAATTTCCGTGAGGAAAAAAAAAAGCATTATTATATTTTAAGATATTAAAACAATTATTACAATATGAAGTAATCCATTAAAAATAGCATTAAGTAACAATAAAATCACATTAAGTAATATAATATTAAGGTTTAGCAAAGAGATTTTGACCAGCAGAGAAACTCTATTGACAATAAAGATCTACAATGATGTAGAATATCAGAGAGTTTCAGTTCAGAATTCAATCTGCAATCTGTTATGATGGAAGATAATTTCATCAAAACTGAAATAAAGGCCAGATTTAGTGCAAGGAGCCAATGCTTTATTATACCATGTAAAGTAGTGTTCCCCAACCTTTTTATCACCGCGGACCTGTCAACGTTTGATAATTTTACTGCTGCCGCTGGGAGGGGGGGGGGTTGATTGTTCATATTTTAGATTATTTTGATTGATTTATTTTATTTTAATTGTATTCAAGCATGTCTTTAAAATAAAATACAGTTTCATAAAAAATAAATATAAAGTGATTTAACATTTTAACTTACGAGAACGTTAAAATTATGAGAACCCTGAGCTTGTTTTTTGCAATGAGACGGTTCCATTTGGGGGTAATCGGAGACAATGACACCCGAAGTGTGTTGCTTTTGTCCAGTTTAATCCGTTGCTTTGTTTTGGTTGCTGTTACTGTTCTTCACTAGTTCCCATGTAAATTTCGCGCCTCGCTTTCGTTTTTTATTTATGATATTTACAGTTATTAGGATAGATTTTTTTTTTTTATTAAAACTAATTGAAAGGATTCGGTGTTTTTCTTTTTACTTTTTAAAACACTAAAAATTTTATGTCACTACCTTCGGGGCCCCTTTTTTTTAAATAAGTAAAATTTTAATGGAACACATATATTTTTAATTTGGGGTATAAGCCTAGGAATTTATATTTAGTTTCAATGAAATGTGCGGCCCGGTACCGTTTGATCCACGGACCGGTACCGGTCCGTGGACCGGGGATTGGGGAACACTGATGTAAAGCATTGGGATCATCTTCAATATAGTTTACATTACAACTGAAAATCTGGACTACAGCACAATATGGAGAAAAATTAATTAGTATTATTGGTGATATGAACAAATCTAGAAATTGAACAGTTAAAGATATTTTAAATATTATAAATGGCACAGTAGTAGGGCCACTTAGAATGGATCAGAACAAAGGTACAAAAAAGCTCTTTTTTTGGAGAAAATAGCAAGGAAAAGTGCTGGAAGATAGAAGAAATCATGGCTAGATGAAGTTGAAGGATAGGATCGGATTCATGAAAAGGATAAGAATGTTTGGAGATGTATTAGTAGGGAGGCCAAGATCCTTCATGGGTTGTTGTGCAAAAGAGTAAGAAAACTTTAATAAAAATTAATAACTATTTAAAAAAAAAACTTAGTATAAGAATAGTAGTAGTGTATAATAATATATATATAAGTCTACCAATAATAAAAACAAAATTAAAATGCAGTTTAAATAATTTGCATGGAATAGTTCACAATCATTGGAGAGAATATAACAGTCAAATCAACACCTTCTAGACAGAATTTTTTTTCTTTAAATGTTAAGTGCCAGCGAAATAGAAATTGTTGAATTCTTTTAAAATTATCTACCACTTAAAAACAATATCTATTAGGTCTTATATAATTTTAGTACAGTAAGGATAGCTCAAAAATAGTCACAACCTAGACATAAAACGTTCTACACCTAGACATAAAACGGTATCAAACTCAAAAGCTAACTTGGGCCAAATAAACAATGTTTAACTTTAAGTGGGGTACACAAAAAAAATCAATGTTTATAGAAACATATATTTTAATTTTGAATAGTACATTGTAATAACAGGACATTTTGTGAAACATTCTTTCAACCAGAGTACGCGTTTATGAATTTGTGCAAATAGGGTCCGGTTATTGCAAAAAACTTTTTCAATAAGTTTTTAAACTGTAAATAGATACAAGATTATGCTCGGCACTTTAAAATTATAATTCAAAAAATTAAATTTTAAAAAATAAACAGCAATTGCTGCGACTGAATTAGAGATGCAACATACAAATATTTGGCATTTAGCCTATACTGCTGAACGCAGAATATTAATTTAGAACGAATAATGGAAAAATCGCCTGCCGAAGACAAATTTTAATTCGTTTACGTCCATCTTTCTTGTTTTCTGCCCTGGGAAGGGTTTATTCGATTAAAAAACAATAATGAGGATAAACAATTTTGTGAAGGGACCGATAAAAAGAAAAATCATTTTCTGAAGGATCCGTTTTTAAGTTAAAATATTTTGTGAAGGGTCCGTTTTTAGGAAAAGATATTNAAAAAAATTAAATTTTAAAAAATAAACAGCAATTTGCAGCTACTAAATTAGCGATGCAACATACAGATAATTGGTATTTAACCTATACTGCTGAACGCAGAATATTCATTAAGAAGCGTCTGCCGAAGACAAAATTTAGTTCGTTTACATCAGTCTTTCTTTCCCCCCTTCCTGGGAAGGGTTTATTTGATTAAAAAAACAATAATGAGGATAAACAATTTTGTGAAGGGACCGATTAAAAGAAAAATCATTTTCTGAAGGATCAGTTTTTAAGTTAAAATATTTTGTGAGGGTCCGTTTTTAGGAAAAGATATTTTGTGAAGGGTCAATTAACGGACCCAAATTTCTTCTAAACAGAATAAACATATATAAAGTTAAATTATTGTTTGATACTTGACATCTCTTCTCTGCTACTATCTTTCCTATTTCAGGAGAAATTTTATTGGCCGAGACTACTTTCAAAATTGACCCAACGTAAGCGTTATTAATACGGTTTTGGACAGGAGATTTATTTCCATTCATAACAGAAAATAATTGCTCGCACTGATAAGTACTTCCAAACATGGAACTAATTTCACATGCGAATTTTTGAGTATTTTCAAACCTTGCCGTTAAATATTTGTTGAGTTCAGGCACACCCACTTCAATGAATTTTGCCTTCAAATTATGAGTCGCACTGAATCTCAATCACTTCCATTTGCATATTACTGGGTACTGAGTCTATATTTATTGAGAAAATTGAAGAAAACAAGCAAAACTTGTCTTACAAAGAATTTACTTTGCATCGGATATATTGACAGGGCCGCAAAAAATTTTCATCTCGGGCCGCATGCGGCCCGCGAGTTTGACACCCCTGTTCTACACAGTAACAAACATGTAAGCACTTACCTCTTAGTAGTAACAAGCTAAGAAGATAGGAACTTAGATTGCTATAGATATACGAATGAGAATTTAATTCCAAGGCATTTTAAGCTGAATTGAAAGAGATCAAATTTGAGATGATAGGACTAATAGTTTAAAAGTTATAATGGTTTTTATGTATATAAAAAGTAAAATTTTTTACATGTACCTATTTACGGATCTGTAAATGAAGCATTTTGTTCCATGCATCTTTTTTATGCTGGATTGAATTAGTCCTAAATGGAGTCAATATCACTAACAGTTGAGAAGATACAATGAATTTTAAGCATAAAAGTACTATTTTTGACTAGTATTCACAATATCAGAATGCATGGAGTGAATCTGCAGCATTATCTTCCCAATTCGAAATTTGTCTCCAACTTCAATGCAGTCAGACATTATGATTGTAAAACTTCTGCTTAATCATACATGTAGCAAAATTTACATATATAAGGTTCTTAAACATTATACATAAAAACTTGCTTAAATTTAAGTAGAATATTATACAATGATACAAAATCAAATAGAATAAATCTATATACAGTTAAGTTTAGTAATCAAGTCAAAAATCTTAACTTTTCCTTTGCGGTGTTCTCTCATTTCCTAATTTTTATTCGAATCAAGTTTAATTAAAGTATTATTTAATTTAGTTAGATTTCTTAAAAAGGAATTTTAGCCCATTTGCTTTTTAAAAGTAAAACGAAAAATTTGATGAAAAATTATCTGCAGAGGCAATATTAATCTGCAGTGCAAAAGAGCTCTGACTCTACTTGATTTAATTGTTTCTCAAGTAGAAATTTCTTTATATGGAACCAAATAAAACCAAACCTGAGACTGTGGGTGCACAACATGCGGCCTGCCGACTGTTGATGTGCAACCTGCGGGAGCTTCTGAACGCAATGAAAAAAATTTTTTTTGAAAACAAAAATTACTAATATTTTGAATGGAGCACTTTCATTATCACTTAAAGACCGTTTAAACAGACTCTATTGTAAATCTATGTTGTTTCTCAATAGCTTTGTCATAGGTTATTGCTTTTGTAAACACGTTTCCTACGGTTAGATGGGAGAAAGTGGGTACATGGGGTTAAGTAAAAAACACTTATTCTTTTCTTTTTAAATTTTTTTTTTTATTCCTTTATAGAAACTTATATTGAGACTATAGTAAATGCCTTTATTTTATTTTTAATATCTGGCTGCAAGTTTATTATTTGCAAACTATATTTATTCTCATGTCATATGTTATGATAGTTTAGATCCTTAAATGAGAGACATTAAGAAAAGTAATGGTACAGATAATATGAAAGTAGAATTAAGAGAAAATAAAACAAGGATCATGGGTAGAAGTTCAGTACCAAACAAGAAGTGGTCAAGTAATAGATATTAGTGAATTACATACAGTGTTTGAATAACTTCCCATTGGGAGATTATTATACTTTCCCTGCCATTAATTAAGATTATGTAGAGTAAAGCAATATAAGTTGTATATCGAATGAATCCAATTTTAATAGCCATGGACATTATTTCTTTAATTAAATATGTAAAAATTTTTTTGTGTGTGCATTTGTACCTTAAATATAACAGAAATACATTTATTTCAGTACGTTTTTATTTCCTAAAAAATATTTACATATTTTTCTTTAAATATTAAATAATTTTAGAACTAGACCTACTTTCTTTTACCATGGGGTCAAGTGGGTACGCTAAAACATGTTCTTTTGACGGCATTATTGTAAGAAAACAATCAAACAAAATAAAAAATAATGCTTCATATTTAATCTATATGAATCTTATGTAACTAAAATGCATCGAAATTTTCAGTAAAATAAATTTAATCCACCTGATTCTTATAGTTTAAATTCTTTACACCAGGGATTTAACTATGCAAATCCACTAAATTACAAAAATGTTGATTTTTGTGATTTACTTGCTGTTCAAACACGGTGTTCAAATCAGGGGATTTTATAAGCCAAACACAATTTAATAAAAAATGTAAGTGTTCATAAAAGACACATTTTACCTTGATTGCTCACCTCCATCTAAAATAGAATTAATTATTTAAAGAAGGATTTCACAAATCATTTAATAGAATTATTCTCTAAAAGAATTCTTTTGTCAAGAAAATGTGCAAGGAAAAAAAAATACAA